AAAGTTTTAAAAAGAATTATATTTTACTAAAAAGTAAAAGTAGCACAGCTTCCACTTTTCAGATAAATTCAATTTTTTTAAGATTTATTTATCTTATGTATGAGTGCTCTCTCTGCATGTACACCTTTATTCCAGAAGAGGGCATCAGATCCCATTATAGATGGCTGTGTGCCTCCATGTGGTTGCTGGGAATTGAACTCAGGACCTCTGGAAGAGCAGTCAGTGCTCTTAACTGCTGAGCCATCTCTCCAGCCCTTTCAGGAAAACTCTACCATATAATTGCACCGTTAGCATATGACCACTTGCAAGTGTGCTCTCTCTCCTCCATGGGACAAACAAAATCAGAAGTTTTTTTTTTTTTTCAAGTTTCTTGCCACTGCCAGTGTAGAAGTATAAAAATAAAAATGTCATTTGAGAACCAATGTGTTACTGCCTCCTTGGAGAGCAGGGGGAGAGTCTGTGTTTTCGAGATTTAAGCTTTACAATACGGTTATCACCTGGCTACCCACCAGAACTTGAGGGTAAGACCCTATTGCTGAAGATACCTCATACTTGAGCCACAAAAAATGGAGAAATCAACTTGGTACTCATATGCCGATGGTGCTGTGTAGGCTGCTGGGGAAAGGTCTTAGCCAGCTGTGAACTCTCTGAGATAATGACCTGCTTGGCACGGGCCCACTGGTGCAAGGGTGGCACCAATGTCATGGTGCCAACCAACCACTTTCTGATTGGATTCACAGCCTGCTCCACGAGATGGAACCCACGGCTGGTTCTATACACTGGACCCAAAAACTCACAGCTGGCTAGGACACAGGCCTTAGGGGAGAATGCAATGCAAACACTCTGCTAAATGGACATAATGTCAAACTGCTTTCCAAATATGTACGGCTATAGCAATAATTAGTGCAGCTTTCAATGCTAATCAAAGAAGCCTGCCTCTCACTGAAGTTAGTACAGAGACCCACAATTACTCAAAATGCAAAGATAAGTGACTGTGGAAAGCTTAGCTTTCCACAAATGAGACATCTACATCACATCTTGCTCCCCACGAACCTCACTATGGGAGAGGGGGAAGAAAACTCGTAGGAGTCAAAGGTCAGGGAGGACTACTGGGAATCATTCTGTCCAGACACGACAAGGCTGCTGCTCCCATGAACTCAGAGCAGCTGTGGTTGCTTGCTTGCATAAGAATGGCACAAGATTAAACTAGTCAAAATTTCAGAATGAATGGGGAGGGGCTAACAGAGGCACTACTGGCAGTTAAGGGCTGATGGAGGAGAGAGAATCAGTTTTCTTAGGAGATGTTGTTCCTGCTAGGTTGTTGGTGCATCCAGTGGATGGCCTCACACCCCCAAACATACTGGAAACACTAATTAAATGCAGTGGATTAAAGAGGACACGAAGCTGGGAGACAGGCATAGTGCCGTAGGTCCGGAAGGAGACTGGGAGGGGAAATCGTGGGATGGATATAATCCAAATACACTGAATACATGTGATGCACTTTCAAAGAATGTAAGTATTCAAATTTTCTATGTTGCTGACATTTAAAGTCATAGCTATAAAAGCACAGATTTTGGAAGCACCATTTAATGATAGGAAAAGATATGCAAGGGCTTAAGAATTAGCTGAGCTGTTAAGAGTCCTTCATTTTCTTCCAGAGGACTCTACTCTGGTTCCCAATACCCAAGTTTGGCAGCTCACAACCACCTGTAACTTCAGCTCCAGAGAATATGACGCCCCCTTCTGGCCATCTTGAGTATCTAGACATGCTTAGTAGACATTCTCACACACACACACACACTAAATAGATAGATAAAAATAAAACAAAAAATAAATAAAACAATAAAAAAAACAAAAAAGTTTAGCTTACGACTGACAAATGACAAATCTAAATGAATGCTATAACATTTTATATTTAAATCTGTGAATGGCTATATGAGTATATTTCCTGTCTACACATGCTTACATTTCTATATTACATGTATGAAAACAAATTGGTTCATAATAAGTGTTCACATAAATTAAGACAGAGGCTAGAGTTATGGCTCAGCAGTTAAGAACACAGGATGCTCTTCCACAGGACCTAGGTTTGATTCCTAGCACCCATGCGGCAGCTCACAACTCCCTATAACTCCTGTTCCAGGGGAGTCGACATCCTCACACAGACAAACATGCTGGCAAAGCACCAATGCACATAAAACAAAATAAATAAATTATAACAAAAGAAATTAGACAGTTCACTTAGCCCAAATATTTCCTAGTTCATGGCGTGACTAAAAAATTTCAAACTCAACATCCTGACTCTGGTAATCATGACAGACGAAGCTTGGCCAAACAGTCCCAATATGCCAATAAGAGACACAGTAACGAAAGTCAAAGAACAACAGTTCTATAAATCAATCTGGCTCTGTCAGGGAGAACAAATCAATGGGCTTGATGATTCCAGATCTGGCATCTGGCTTGTACTTCTATTTAAAAAAAATTGTAATAACTAAAAAAGAGATGGAAGGCAAGCTGTACACAGAGAGTCCTGGCCAGGGTGGTTGTCGGTCTGCTCTGTTCTCCAGCCGGTCATTATCTCAGGTCTTTTTCTGTAAGGTGGCCAAAAGGTTCCCATGAGGTTCTCTGGAGCAGACGGAGAGGCAAGAGCAGGGCCTGAGCTCTAAAGAGATGAGTGTGGACCTGCCTGGGAGAGGTGATCTCACAGCTTTCTGGGGATGGAACTGGTTTCAAAGCAGGAGCCAGGCTACAGACTCTCCGATTACCAGGCAGGAGAGACAGGGGAGTCTGTGGGCCAGTGAACAGGGGGCGAGGAGCAGGATGTGTGACCACTAGTACCCACTTTGATGTAAGCTCACTTCTCCGGCTGAGAAATTCTGGCAAATTTGTGAGCAAGTGACTTGGACAATGTCTTAGTAAGGTGGATGTCAGTATCTGTGAGAGGGGAAGGTTGCTGGAGACAGTACTTCCCAAGCAATAGCTGATCCTAACATTATGTTCTTTCAGCAGCCAAGATGAGTGGGGTGGGTGGGCCGGAGTCCAGGCTCATTGGCATTCTTGGGCCCCAGTCTTCCCTCTGGCCTAAGTGACTAATGAATGTATGTTCTAGGTGCTGCCAGAAGCTGGTAAACGGTCGAGACAAAGCAGCCAGCACATATAAAGAAAACTGAGAGCTCTAATTGGAACTGACTGTGCCACCTTCTACCACCACACCAGGCTCTAGAGCCTTCTGTGAACGTCTGATACACTTGCTCACTTCTGTCTCCTTTAGAATTAGAAAAGCCCTGTTTCCGGAAACCACGGGGAACTCTGCAGACCTAACATGTAGGGCTTTCTCCTAATGCAATACTCCGTTCACATACTGTAAGGCCTACCTCTACCAAGACTCTGCCTTGTAAAATAATGTGTGGACACGAGGAAAGTGGCTCAGAAGGTAAAGGCAGGAGGAGCTCAATCCTGGGAACCCACGTAAAGGAGAGAAAGTATCTCATGAAGTTGTTCTCTGACCTCCAAAATGCAAGAAGTAGTAACATACAGGAAAACACACACACACACACACACACACACACACACCCTATGCATTATTATTGTGCATACATAAATACAATTTAAAACCAGAAAGCAACGTCTAGAAACACCTGAGGGCACTAGCAATTATGACAGAGCCCCATGTCATCCATGTATGTGGATCTCCCTTTCCAACGAGTTTGGGAATGTCAGAAGAAGGTACAAATTCAGGATTTATTGCTAGCACTATGATTCCCTGACTTACGGGTACAGGTCATGGAATTTAGAGGAAGCGTCCCTTGGATCTATGAGACTTAGAGGAGAAGCAGGAGAGACAGCGAGGAAGACACAGCAGACTGATCACTGATACTCTATACCGTAGGGACGATCTGCTTTCCTACAGAGTCAAGCTAAGGGTGACTCCATTTTATTAAGCAACAACCCCGACCAAAGTGACTCCAATTTGAAGTTATAAGAACCCCTCCCCCAAAAGGAAGGCAGCACAGTAAACAAACAGGATCTGGTGCCAGGAGGGACAAACTGACAACATCAACGTTGACACTTGAAAATATGCCAAACCATATTAGACACAACACACAAATCCGCTTATCAGCCATACCCGCACGAAACCCCCTGACCCGGAACCACAGAAGTTACATCCCAACACAAAGTACGGCAAGGCAACCGTCAGGGGCCAGTCCTTGGACTCCAATTCCAGTGCGGTTTCTCCTGTCCAGGTCACTCAGCCAACTAAAATTGACTTACTCATGCCCACTGCATATACATTTGACATCTGTGCCCGCGCTGCTAGGACATCACTTTTGGTCCCCTATAGACTTTTCTTTGCATCTGTCTCTGCTCAAAGCCTCGTACTTCAGAACAGACTCTCAACTTCACCACTCCAGCTCTTAGCCATTCTGTGACCTGCACATTTGTGTATCTTTATGTGAAATGATCATCTTATCTGCCAGTTAATGTCAGTAATTAGACTGTTATATAAGAACCCGTGATTGCCAGTGGCTGGTTACCAAGCAAAATCGGGCATACTCGGCTAATTGTTAACAACGAAACAGACATAATTTGTGAAATTATTTTTTTATCCGATAAATTCTGGCACTGGAAACACATCAACTTGTCCCTCAGGACCCAAGGTCACCACACCCTGCCCCCCCCCCAACACATACACTCACACGCACGAACCCCAGAGTCCCGAGTGTCACCGCGACACTGCTGCCACCGCCCAGGCTGCGGAGTCGCGAGGCTGTGGGTGATCAGATGCCTACAGAGGCCGCAGCACCGAGCGCTCAGCGAGGGACAGGACCGCGACTCTGCCTGCTGACCCGGCTCCACCCAGCGGGACCCGGGCAGCGCGGCCCAGCGGAGCCCGATGAGTCGCAGACGCAGACTCAGCTGCCCGGGGAGGCCGCGTCCCCACTGTCGCCTCCGCTTGCAACAACCTCCTCCCCACACCCGGGACGCCCAGCCACACGCACCATTTTCGGTCACTGGGGGGGTCCTCGTGTTGTCCAGCGGCTCCTGTAATCAGGGGATGAGACGCAAACACTGGGGGCACAACCTGCGGGTCTCTCTCCAGAGAAGACACAAACGCCTAAAATGGCTGGACGGGAAGTGGCATCCCCGTTGCTGTACCCGCCCTCTCCCAACATCTGAAAGCCTCATTGGATGGTTTATGCAGCTAAGCAACTTTTCTTATTGGCCAGTGAGTCACATGCCCATCTCCTAAGGCTTAAATGACAGAAAAAACATCCTCTAGCGTGTACTGTGGCGCCAAATCTCAAATCCCAGCATAAGCTTTCCTGGGGTACCATCCGGCTGTGAGAGTCCCAAACTCCCTAGCTTTACATATGAAAGGGGTGAAACGCTATATTTTACATGGAATTAAAAATAGGTAGAAGCCTATTTAACAAGGCAAAGATGTCAGCTAAATTTTATTTGCATGTGTGAAAAAAGTCATAACAAAGAATAAATCCAATGTGAGTTATTTCTATTTGGCTCGGCTTCTAGCGTTCCCTCTCCCTTTGGGGTCGATGTTTGTCACCAGTGGCTGGCAGTTTACACGTTCTGTTTACCTCTTTGAAAATCTCTTGCACCCACGCACCTCACATAGTCATTTCTATAGCAAAACATTTTGGGAATGAAGCGACACCGAGTCATTAGAAATATATCAAGGATTCTTCAGAATTACAAGGGTTGGACAGGTCCCAACGAAGTTGCACGGCACTAAACACAAACCTGGAAAATACCACACAGGCGACTTCCAGGGCAACTATTCCTGCTCCCAGGACCACCAGCCTGACTGCAGGGAACTAAGCTCACAAAGAACGAGTAAAAGATAGAAAGGAAGCCTTGATGAGAGGAGAAGATTAAATTTGAAAGGCGACCATGGTGGTAAAGGCTTTGTAGCAGGCTAGTGACGAGCAATGAGCAGACACGAGATTCTGCGTGCGACGGCTGAAGCGTTAAGGCTGGGAGCAAGATCCGGAGAGCCCCAGACGGAGGTATTTTAAGTGACCTTTTAGAAAGACGGGAGCAGAGAAAGGAAAAGCTGAGAGGCTTGAGGCTGCAGTCAGCAAGCTGACTAAATGGCATCTTAAGAATTAAAAAATATATATATTGCTTGTCTGTGTGCCTGCCACACGTATGCAGGTGCCGAAAGAGGCCAGAAGAGGGCACTGTATCCCCGGAGATGGAGTTACAAGCCTCTGACTGTGGGTACCGGTACAGAATTTGGGTTCTTTGCAAAAAACAGGACTGCACTCTAAACCACAAGAGAGACAGTTCTCCAGCTCCCTACATTTATACTTCAGAATCCATCCAGCTCCCTCTCCTTCGCATTTATAAGAGTCTTATTTAATATCTACTGTCAAATTAGCCGGCCAGTTGTGTCCTGCTCGGTCTCTTTCCTCTTTCCCCTCTACTCGTGGTCTCTATTCTATCCGTATTATTTTCCTTTTCAGAGACTTGCCCAAAGAACACGGGCTGGCCTGGTCTTCACGGTTTCTCGTCTGTCTTCTAACTGCTCTAACCCGATTATATTTCTTTGCTCACCCCCTACAAAATTACCCCTCTTCACTCTCATGGCCCTACTGTCTCCTTGTGTTTACCTTTTCCTTGTCTGCTGTTTGTCATCAACAAAGGAATAACAGCCACCTTTATTTATTTGTATTTTCCTTTCTACTCATTCCTAACGTAACAACTGATACACTTGGGCAAAAAGAAGTCACAATATTCCTCCATATCCTAGAATGATTGTCATTTGAAAGATGATAAATTTGGGGTTTTTTTCTAGATATTCTTTTATTTTAATGTATTTTCATAGTGGGCCTACCCATGGATAGTGAGTATTTTTGCAGACACTATTTTTCATTTAGCCTGGTGACCCAAACGTTATAGAGCAGAGACAAACAGAGTCAAACAAAACTTCAACCCTGCTACATCCTGAAAATTGTGCAGAGTTCCATTTGAAAAAAAGCAATGTGATTAAACACACACATGTAAACACACACACAAAACCAATGATTTAACCCAAAATAAAAAGCTTAACGCAACACAATTCCACCAAAAATCTTAATTCCATTGTAAGGGCCTCCAAATCAAGTGAATCAGATGAAATCTTAGAAGTAATGATTTTACACACACACACACACACACAGAGAGAGAGAGAGAGAGAGAGAGAGAGAGAGAGAGAGAGAGAGGCCACAAATGCCTTATAAATTCCAACAGAACATAAACACAAGTTAAGGAAAAAACAGACAAAGGAGAAATCTTGTGGCCTTCGGGCCTCACTCACTGACAACTTACAAAGAGGTCTCTCATCATTGGCATAGCCAATGAGTAGTCAGTTGAAGAATGCTAAGTGATAGATCTAATCCTGTTTGGCCATTATTTGGGGTCCATGGAGCAGGGACAGCAATACTCCAGAGAAGTGAATTGCTTTAGTACTGGAAATCAGATGACTATAGTTACAGAAATTGTTCCAATTCAACCAAAATTGAGGTTCTTTACAAAATGTCATGGCCCTGGATAGTATCTTGGGCCTACTTTTTGCTAAGAAACACAAACTGGCCTCTGGAGTCAGTACTACACACAGGTAGTGTGACGTTTCAATAGAATTGTGAGATACCAGCTTATCTGCAAAGGTGGAATACCAGTTGTGTGAAAACAGAGCATACATTAGGTAACAGAAAAACTATAGGTATGTGAAAAGTTCACTTTTGGTTTCCTGTGTTTAAACCCCCACAGGCTCGCATATTTGAAGGCTTAGTCACCAGAAAGTGGCACTATTCGAAGGGATTCAAAGAATTAAGAGGCATGGCCTTGTTTGAGGAAGGGTGGGCTTTCAGGTTTCAAAAGCCCATGCCAAGCCCAGAGTCTCTCTCTCTCTCTCTCTCTCTCTCTCTCTCTCTCCCTTTGGATCAGGATATAAAACCCTGTTACTCTTCCAGCATCACGTCTGTCTGCATGCCACCAGGCTCCCTGCCATGTTGATAATGGAGTGACCCCTGAACCTGTAAGCAAGCCCACAATTAAGTGCTCTTTTTATAAGAATTGCGTTGGTCATGGTGTCTCTTTACAGCAATAGGACAGTGACTAAGACGTACATTACACTAACATCCTACCTCTGGAGTCATTCCCACATCAAATCACTCACCTCGTTACTAGTTACTGATGTGCTGTGGAATATTAACTGGGCAAAGATGTGCTCCGTTTGTTTATGCTGCAGGATATGACTTTAACTGAGTAAAGTGTGTCACTTTTGTTTCTGCTGCATTTGTTGAATCATGTAAAGATGTGTTGCATTTGTTTCACCTGGCCTAAGGCACCTGTTTGGTTTAAGAAGAGCTAAACAGCCAATAGCTATAAAGAAGAAAGGATAGGCAGGGCTAGCAGAAAGAATAAAAAGGAGAAAGCTAGCCTCGGGAGAAAAAGAATGAAAGGAAGAAGGAGAAAATGAGAGAGATGCCAGATAGACAGACCTAGAGAAGCAGTGAAAATAGGGTATACAGAAATAAGAAAGGTAATAAGCCCTGAAGCAAATGGTAAATAAACAGAAAATGGTTAAATTAAAAGAGCTAGCCAGAAACATGCCTAAGCTAGGCCAAGCATTCAAAACTAATAGCAATGATTTGGGAGCTGGTTGGTGGTCCAAAAGAAAAAGCATGGTACACTAATACCCATTACTTTCAACCTTATCCGGTATTCTCAAGCCAAGGTTCGTCCTCTTCATTGTACTTTCCTTCCATCAGTGAGCAAAGCCTTGATGATCAGATGTCTATTTTCATGTCCCATTGTTAAAAAAATCCAACCCATTGGACTGGTTAAGATGGCCCACGCTTTTAGTCCTAGCATTCAGGAGGCAGAGGTAGGTGGATCTCTTGAGATAGGGGCCTTCATGTTTCATACAACAGAAACTAAACAAACTTCTAAACATGGCCTGATCTGTAAAACATATATATCCTGCTTAGGAGTAAAAAGAAAAAGTTATCATTTGCTATTCTGAAAGCAATCTTAAAATAGTTCAACCTTAAAAGGACACTGTATCCAATAGGCTTCTCTAGAGAAATGGAATTAAGTCGGCTTTAAAGTAGTGACAAAGGCAGAATGACCAGGGAGCTGATAACGTGGTCATTCCTAGGTCCTTAAGGCTGGAGCCATAGCGTTCGGGGTTGGTAGTTGGGTGAGTGGGTGGAGGGTCTGTGGGTGGTTAGTGGATAGGTGGATGGGCTTCAGCAGTCCCAATCTGGCACAATGAGCCTAGAAGTTTCCTGAACTACCCTGTTTCCCTAGTCACAACTGTGGGAGATCACAGGGACTCCATTTCATCTTGACTTAAGGTCAAAGAGTTCAAGCTTGTTCTTCCTCCTCAAGGCCAATTAAAAGGATGTTTGGCCAAAGACAAGGTTACTAGATGTTTTAAGGAGGTGATTAGGCTTGTTTGTTCCTTGAACCATGGTAAGGAAGTCTTTTCCCATCCCCTTCTTGCTATAAAAGTGTTATGAGGAATAAATTCAGAGCTTCTGCAGTATTCACTGAGACCCTCCTGATTCCATCTCCTGTCTTTTGTCTCTTTCATAATCCTCTCTCCCCTATTCAGGTACTGTTCGACAGGTCGGCTGGCCCCAACACACAATCAAAGTTTGGAAACACTAGATCTGATATCTGTGAAGTAAACATCAATTGCAACAGGACAACAGAACTAGGTGACAAGATGGAAAGAGAAGTGAGCAAAAGGCAAGATGTTCTTCCTTCTGCCATATCCCTTTCATCTGAACCAGCAGGTGCCACCCACAAGTGGAGTGGGCGGGTCTTCCCACATAAGTCAAGAAAATTAGAACAGTTCTTCCAGTGAGGGTCCACACTCAGGTGCTTCTGTTATGTGGCAAGTTGACATTAAAACCAACCATCATAGACAGGCAAGAAAGTATGTTAGAAAATAACCATCGAGAGAGAAATAAACATAGTTGGGGAGGCCCAAAAATGTAAGCCTATTTCCACCTTGTCTGAAGGTCAGAGAGTTTTAGCTTAGGGGTTGAAAGCACTCGTTACGTTTACAAAGGGCTCGTGCTCAGCTCCCAGCACCTATGTGACTGTTCCTAACCACCTGTAACTCCAGCTCCAGAGGGTCTGAGGCATCTTCACAGCAGACGTCACACACATTCACACCGGCAGGCAAAGCATTCATACACATGGAATAATACAAATAAGTCTATTTTTTTAAAAAAAAAAAGTTTGTATTTAAGGTGTATTCTGTGGTAGGATCTTTCATTTCTGTAAAAGGAACAGTAGTACTGGGAGACTTTCTAATATTACCTACATACAAAGAGTCTCTCCAGTGTGGCTTTTTAAAACATTACTATGGGTATAGGTAATTTGTCTGCATGGATGTCTGTGTACCACGAGCATACAGAGGCCACTGAAGTCACAAGAGGACACTGGACCCCTTGGAACTCAAATTAGACACCGTTGTAGGCTTCCATGTGGCTGCTGGGAATCAAACCTAGGTCCTCTGGAAGAGCAGCCAGTGCTCTTAGCTGCTTAGTCAGCCCTCTGGTCCCCTCTGGTTGACTTACACATATTTGGAGGAACCAGGGAAGAGGCGGAGATTTTCTACACTGAAAATGTACACAAGGTTCCTCTGCAGTCAGATCTCTGTCATGTCTTTCCCACAATCTGAGGCTACAAAATGATTTCAGCATCACTCACATTCAGAGGGCTTTTCTCTAGTATGATTTCATTCATGGACTTGAAGAAAACTTTTAGAATAAAAATCATTTCCCTGTTATTTTTTAAAAAGTTTTCCCTCCATGTGGCTGTTTCAAGTTTGCTGTTTGGTTTGGTTTTGTTCTGTTCTTAAGAAATCAGCATGATAGGCTTTCACACATTGGTAGCAAAAAGGTCCCACTTTTATTCAGGGTGAATTCATGTGAAAGCAACCCGGCCATTTAAAAAGTGTAAGCACTGCTTTCAAAGCTGGGGATGTAAACCTCGGAGAATGACTGTTTTCATAAGAGGTATTAAGCAACAGATTTCCCATATCGTTTACATGAAGATGGTCTCTGCTCAGTGTTGAGTTCTTTCATGGTTTTTAAGGTGACTAAGAGACCTAAAGCCTTTCCCACACCCCTTACACTCATGGGGTTTCTCACCACTGTGCATCAACACATGGTACTGAAGAGAACTTAAGTGGGTGAAGGCTTTCCCACACTGCTTACACACACGAGGTCTCTCTCCAGTGTGAATCCTTTTGTGTTTCCGCAAAGTACTCTCAGAACTCAAAACCTCACATTGTGAGCAGGCATGTAGGTTATCGCCGCTGTGTATCTTTTCATGACTTCCCACATTGTGAGCACGCATGTGGGTTATTGCCGCTGTGTATCTTTTCATGACTTCTCACATTGTGGGTTATCGCCGCTGTGTATCTTTTCATGACTTCTCACATTGTGAGCACGCATGTGGGTCATCGCCGCTGTGTATCTTTTCATGACTTCCCACATGTGAGCACGCATGTGGGTTATCGCCGCTGTGTATCTTTTCATGACTTCTCACATTGTGGGTTATCGCCGCTGTGTATCTTTTCATGACTTCTCACATTGTGAGCACGCATGTGGGTTATCGCCGTTGTGTATCTTTTCATGACTTCTCACATTGTGGGTTATTGCCGCTGTGTATCTTTTCATGACTTCTCACATTGTGAGCACGCATGTGGGTTATCGCCGCTGTGTATCTTTTCATGACTTCCCACATGTGAGCACGCATGTGGGTTATCGCCGTTGTGTATCTTTTCATGACTTCTCACATTGTGGGTTATTGCCGCTGTGTATCTTTTCATGACTTCTCACATTGTGAGCACGCATGTGGGTTATCGCCGCTGTGTATCTTTTCATGACTTCTCACATTGTGAGCACGCATGTGGGTTATCGCCGCTGTGTATCTTTTCATGACTTCGAAAAGAAGTCGAACAGAAGAACCCCTTCCCACACTGTTTGCACTCATAGAGTTTGACACCACTATGACTTACTTCATGCCTTCTTAACTGATACAAAGACACGAAGGCTTTTGTGCACTGCTTACACACACAGGGCTTCTCACCAGTGTGACTTCTTACATGGATTTGTAGGGAACTGAGACGAGTGAACGTCTTCCCACACTGCTTACAAACATGGGGATTCACACCACTGTGGGTTACTTTATGTTTTCGAAACTGATTCCAAAGCATGAAGGCATCCCCACAATCCTTACATACAGAGGGTTTTTCCCCAGTGTGAGTTCGTTCGTGTATTTGAAGATAAGTAGAAGTAATGAAGGCTTTCCCACACTGCTTACATACATAGGGTTTCTCTCCGGTGTGGATTCTCATGTGTCTTTGAAGGGAAGCAGAGCGAGAAAAGCTTTTCCCACACTGATTACATGCATAGGGCTTCTCACCGGTGTGGATTATTTTATGCCTTAAAAGAGAATTGAAACGAGTAAAGGTTTTCCCACACAGTTGACACTGATGGGGAGTCGAGCCAGTGTGAATCTTTTCATGTCTTAGAAGAGAACTGGAATAAGCAAAGGTTTTCCCACACTGCTTACACGTGAAGGGCCTCTCGCCAGTGTGGATCCTTTCATGGACTTGTAGGGAACTGGGAAAAGGGAAGGCTTTCCCACACTGCTTACATGCAAAGGATTTCTTTGCACGGTAATGTTGTTCATGGCCCTTTAAGGATCCGAGAGAAGTAAACGTTTTCCCACACTGCTTACATTCATGGTGCTTTTCTTCAGGAGTACGTTCCTGAGTGTGACCGATTCTTACGTCTTCATTAGACTGCTCATTTTTATTAGATTTCTCTTCCGTGACAGCACTTTTATGCTTCTGCAAAGATGGGGGAGAGCTGGAGGGGTCCTCTGACTCTTTATTATTATTCAGCTCCTTTCCATGTTCCCGAACTTCTTTTCTTTTCTGCCCTGGCCTAGGTTTTAGCCGCACACTTAGAGCTAAATAGCCGATGACTACATTTACACACCCATTTCTTCCACACATATGTACTCCTGGATAAAATGTGTGGTCCACAGTGCCCTCTGTAGAGAAGCTGACAATTTCTGCACACTCATGATCTTCCTTACACTCGTGGAGTTTCTCCATCAGTTGACATCTGTAAGAAATAAAAAAGTAGATTGCTAAGTGTTTGGTTATTAGTAGTAGAAATACTGGTTCTGTGTACTGTAGGAATTTTTTTTTTTTTTTGGGTTTTTTGAGACAGGATTTCTCCGTAGCTTTTGGTTCCTGTCCTGGAACTAGCTCTTGTAGACCAGGCTGGCCTCGAACTCACAGAGATCTGCCTCCCGAGTGCTGGGATTAAAGGCGTGCGCCACCATCGCCCAGCTACTGTAGGAATTCTGAACATGTGTTCACGGAATGCTATGCAGCATGATTTGAGGATAGCTGTAATAACAGCAATGGTATTATAAACACAATGAGAAGTTATATTGTTCCACATTTAGCAAACATTGAATGTATATGTCACATTTAAATACCCATCTCAATACTCAATATTGTACACCATTTAATGTCCAGTACTGATGATGAAAATGATGTTGCCTTTTGAACTACTTGAATGCTATGGTAGTTTGAATAAAAATGGCTCCCATAAGCTCATAGGGAGTGGTACTATTAGGGGATGTGGCCATGTTGGAGGAAGTGTGTCACTGGGGAAGAGTTTTGAGGTTTCAGATGCTCAGTCTAGACCCAGTGTGTCATGCTCTTTTTTTCTGCGGCCTGTGGGTCCAGATGTAGAACTCTCAGCTCCTTCTTTAGCACCATGCTTGGCTACAAGTCCATGACAATAATGACTAAACCTCTGAGCTTGGAAACCAGACCCAAATACATGTTTTCCTTTATAAGTTGCCACAGTCATGGTGTCTCTTCACATCAGTAGACACCTTAAGACAAATGCCCACATTGAGTTATCTTTCTGTTTGTTTGTTTTATTTATTTATTTATGAGATAAGATTTCACTTTGAAGTGCTGGCTGGCCTGAAACACACTTAGTAGACCAGGCTGGCCTCTAAATCAGACATCCACCTGCCTCTGCTTCCCATGTGCTGAGATTAAAAGTGTGGCCCCACACCTGTCTATACGTATTCTCTCAACAGTTCCAGTCTAAAAGTGGCATCTTTGGTTTCTCCATGGCGTTGGAGCCTGTCCTGGAACTCGCTCTGTAGACCAGGCTGGTCTGACATCTTATTTTGTTCTCTGTGGCATTGGAGCCTGTCCTAGAACTCGCTCTGTAGACCAGGCTGGTCTGACATCTTATTTTGTTTCATATGCATCTCATACCGAAGACGGCAGATAAACTGATATTTCATATTCCATATTGTATATGGTATAAAGTTTGTACATGTGAAGTATGATATCGTATGTATGCATGTATCATGATACTCAAGTTGTTTTCAGTGCTTGAGTATCCGAGATGCTCTTATTGACGACTTGAAACATATTGGAAGTTTCAGAGACAATTTCCTGAGATCAACTCAGATTGAAACTTGACATATTTGTCTCCTTTACCTTTTTGTAAAATATCCTATGGCACCATAAACATCGAGGAACCTGAATTACCTTAGCTTTATGCCAGAATTTTCAATCTTTTGGTATTTCCTTATGTTTCCTAAAATACAGATCAAAAATGAATCATTATAAATCATGATACTATAGGAAAAACATTAGTAGATTCCAACTAAATTCATGGTATAAAGTAGCCCATTTCATTTATTCATCCCTGCCACCTTTTTTTGTCTTTTTGGGGGGGCAGAATGTGAACAGTCTCCCACTACCACAAATTATACAGTCAACTTTTCTACATTTGGGAAAGTCGCAGGAGTCAGTGAGAATGGACTAAGAAAACCAGCTTCCTGATCTTGGTGTGTCCCCTGCCAAATAAGCATCCCCAAATCTTTACCATATTTCTGTTCATGCAGCAGCGATGAGCTAGAAGCACTTTTGTTTGACTGACCTATTATGAGAATGGATGTCTTTACCTATAGAGATCATGTTTCTCAATATTTCCTTCAGCACATCTTTGTAGAGCTCCTTTTGGGATGGATCCAGCATGGCCCACTCCTCCGTGGTGAAGTGCACAGCCACATCCTCAAAGGTCACTGACTCCTAAAAGCACACACATACATTTCCACAAGGGTGAACTTCACAGTACCAGCGGTCTAGACTTTATAAGAAGTTATTGTGACACTATGTTCATATATGTTCAAGATGTCTTGCTCACCACACGGTTACTGTTCATACATACTAAGATTCTCCAATACAGTAGTTCTGACAGTAGATTGGAACAATGAGTAAAGCAACAGCAGAATAGGACCACCTTTGCCCCCATAAGCTGTGCTAACTCTCTTTGTCCACTGGGTCATTGTGACAAACTTTATAACACATTCTGACTATCTAATGTCCCAAAGAAAATCCAATATGAGCTGTCCCAAGACTGCATATTCTTACATATGCTGAAGGAAAAATTTCCATTTCTTTTGGTATCTGGGACCTGTGATTAAGAGCAGCTCTTTCTTATATAACCATAAAAATGATGTGGCTTTCTTGAACAGTTGGTGCCAACCATATGTGACTTTTGTTGCAAGGAGGGCCTGCTTTTCATCCCAGCCAGCTTACACCTGAAATAATCACACAGAAACTGTATTCATTTAAACACTGCCTGGCCCATTAGCTCTAACTTCTTATTGGCTAACTCTTACATCTTAATTTAACCTATTTCCATTAATCTGTGTATTGCCACATAACTGTGCCTTACCGGCAAGATTCTAACCAGCGTCTGTCTCAGGCAGGAGATTCATGGCTTCTGCCACTCTGCCCTTCTTCCCAGCATTCAGTTCTGTCTACTCTGCCTACCTAAGTTCTGCTCTATCAATTAGGCCAAGGCATCATCCAATGAAAGCAACACATAAGCAGAAGGAACTCCTACACCAGACTTCTATATCACTTTTATATTTTTTCTCTCAGAATCCATACCACGTTTCCATGTGATTTTAGAGAGAAACTGGTTAGACTAGGTATATTTTCTGAATAATGAATCTTTGAGAAGCTGGTTCAGTCTTTTGAATAAGATTGGTACCCACATACTCATGTAGTCGAATGCTTGGTCATTAGGAAGTGGCTTGAGAAGGGTTAGAATGATCAGGAGAAGAGTACTTGTTAGCATAGGTGTGGCCTTGCTGGAGGAGGTGTGTCACTGAGAGGTGGGCTTTGAGGCTTCAAAATCCCCTGCCAGCCCAGACCCAGTCTCTCCTCCTCCTCCTCCTCCTCCTCCTCCTCCTCCTCCTCCTCCTTCTCTCTCTCTCTTTCTCTCTCTCTCTCTCTCTCTCTCTCTCTCCCCCCCCTCTGTCTCTCTCTTCTTCCCCCATGCCATTCCAGTCTATAACACTCAGCTACTGCTTCAACTCCATGGGAGGCGCCATGCTCCCTACCATGGTGAAAATGGAATACACTTGTGAAACTGTAAGCAAACTCCCAATGAAATGTTTTCTTTCTAAGAGTTGCCATGGTCATGGCGTCTCTGCAGAGAAATAGAATACTGACTAAGTGGATAGCCTTTACTTGCTCTTCTCACAACTTGTTAGGAGCTCAAATATATCATCTATGATTCACTGTAACAATATTTAGAAGAGTGTATCTGCTTTCTCGTAGAGCATTCTTAAACAATAATAAGACTTGCAAGACTAGAGAAATGGCTCGGCCATTAAGATTACTGGCTGCTCTTTCAGGGGACCTGGATTTGATTCCCAGCACCCACACAGTAGCTCACAACTGTGCAACTCCATTTCCAGGTAATATGACCCTCTCTTCTGGTCTCTGTAGGCACTAGGTATGCATGCCACACACATGTGCACATGGATACACACTTGGGCAAAACAACCATATACATAAAATAAAACATTATAACCATTTTACTTTCTTTATTAAAGAAAGTATGATGGTACATACTAATTTTCAACTTGACAGGATCTAAAATTCACCTAGGAGACAGGACTCTTGCTAAGTATGTCTGGGATTATCTTGATTCCATTTTAGGCAGAAGAGCTCAGCCTGTTTGTGAGATGTGCCATTCACTGGGCTGGGTGAAAGTGAATTCAGAAAACAGCCGTTGCTAAGCACTGGAATTTATTGCCATCTGCTTTCTGACTTCAGTTACAACCTGAGAAGCTGCCTCTAACTCTTGTTGTCAAGCTTCTCCCAACGTGATAGACCCCAACCTTGAACTAAATCCAAAATAAATCTCGCTCTCTTACATGTTCTTCTCAAGAATTTTGTCACAACAACGATACAAGAACTTATATACGATTAAGGGTAATTCATTTTCTAATAAATATATTTTTAGGGAATATAAATGAACAATGAAAAATAGCTCATGTTCTTAGAAACAGCTCTTACCCCTCAAAGGTATGTAAGAAATTCCATAATTACTAAAAGTGTGATGGCGCCAGACAAAAGTGGTGCATGCTCTTAATCCCAGCACTCGGGAAGCAGAGGCAGGTGGACCTCTGTGAGTTCGAGGCCAGCCTGGTCTACAGCGCAAGTTCCAGGACAGTCAGGACTACACACTGGGAAACCTATCTTGAAAATCAAAAACAAAACAATCAAAAGTGGGATGGCTAATGCTAATTGTCACGTGACAGAGATGGCGCCAGACAAAAGTGGTGCATGCTCTTAATCCCAGCACTCGGGAAGCAGAGGCAGGTGGACCTCTGTGAGTTCGAGGCCAGCCTGGTCTACAGCGCAAGTTCCAGGACAGTCAGGACTACACACTGGGAAACCCTATCTTGAAAATCAAAAACAAAACAATCAAAAGTGGGATGGCTAATGCTAATTGTCACGTGACAGAGTTTAGAATTATCCACGAGACAGACCAAAGCCAGCCATTAAGAAGATCTGTGAACAGTTATTTTTGATTATATTCACTGGTGTGAGAACAACCATCCTCATTATGGGCTGAACTGCTCCCCGGGGAGGGAATCGCAAACTGTGTACATCCCTGATATGCGCTCTTTGCTTCCTGCCTGTAGATGATGTCACCAGATGCTGCTTGACTTCCCCACCAGGATGGACTGCACTTTTGATCTCTGGCCCAAGAAATGAAACTCCTTTTGTATGGCTATATGAATATATATATAATTGTCTGCAGCGCTTGTGTTTTTATATTATACGTTTTTATATAAAAACAGAACTGCTCATAAAATGAATAAGCTAATTTGTCTGAATATTTCCTAGTTCATAATGTAGCTAGAATTTTAAAACTCAGCATTCTGATTCTGGTAATCAAGACAGGCTAAGGCCATCAAAGAGCTGGAGTGATGGATAACTTGGTGGGTGGGAGCTCCGGCTGCTCCTCCAGAAGACTGGGGTTTACTTCCTAGAACCCACATGGTGGCTCCAGTTCCGGGTGAATTCATTGTCCTCTGGCTTCCAAGAATACCAGGCATGTATATGGTGCACTTACATACATGTGGGCAAGAAGCCAATACTCGTAGAATAAAAATAAATCTTAAAAAAAGATTCTCATTGTTTCCTAGGTATTAACTTGTCCTCAGGTGGGGCCTCCTGTGGGAATGGTTTAAGGATGTTCTGCAGCTCCTAAAATCTAAGACAGCCAGAGCTTTAAGACAATGGCTGTTGCTGTGCTTTCAACCTTTGCAAAGGAACAGAGACGAGTACCAAACTGGATGGAGATGCAAGAGTTTTCTACTGCTTTCTTGTTGCCTTAGAGGGCAACTGAAAAGTTGGTCCTTTTAAAACAAAAACACTTTCTAGCTGCTTGTTGTAACAAAAGTTAAAATCTTTTTGATTTTTGAGTCTTGGGTTTTTTTGTTTCTTTTGAGAAAAGGTTTCTCTGTGTAGCCCTGGCTGCCCTGGAATTTGCACTGTAGACCAGGCTGGCCTCGAACTAACAGAGAATCCCAGCACTAAGGAGGCAGAAGCAGGTCGATCTCTTGAGTTCGAGGCCAGCCTGGGCTACAGAATGATTTCCAAAACAGCCAGGACTACACAGAGAGATCTGTCTCAAAAAAACAAAACAAAACAAAAAAACCCAACCAACCAAACAAAAAACAAAACAAACAAAGAAAAAAGAGGGTGGGACTGGAAACATGGCTCAGCACTGAGGGGCAGAGGCTACTCTCTCAGTAGACCCAGGTTCAAGTCCCACATGGTCGCTCATAACTGTCTGTCTGCATTTCCAGGGGATCCTACACCCTTACATAGGCATGCATACAGGAAAACGCAAATTCACATTAAATAAAAACAAATTAATTTTTAAAAGAAGAAGTAAGTGGGTCAGCAATATGGGTGCGTGCAGTGGTTAAGGTGCTTACTTGGCATACCTGGCCACCTCAGTTTAAACCCTGGAACTCACACAAATGTGGAAGAAGAGGGCTGACTCTGAACAGTTGCCCTCTGACCTCCCCTAGGAGACTGTAGCATGCGCATTCACAAGCACACGCCACACACACAATAACAAAAAAATATATTTTTAAAGCAGTGTGGGCAAAGCCAGAAAGCTTAAATAGGTCACAAAAAAAAGCTTTATAGGAGATAAAATTTGAATGTGGTGTACATGATAAAGTTGGCTTTAATCTATGGTCAGATGTTGGTAGATGCTTTTCTTGTCAGCCAATCTTTATCACACATTAAGAAAAACTAAAAACAAAGGCGCTGAGAATTTATGCACTCCAAATTGTGGAGCTCTTAACATCAGTTAAAACAAAGACAGTCTATACCCCAGCACTCAGGAGGCAGAGGCAGGTGGATCTTTTTGAGTTGGAGGCCAGTCCAGTCTACAGAGCGAGTTCCAGGATAGCGAGGGATACACAGAGAAACTCTGTCTCAAAAAACAAAGTAACTAACTAACTAACTAACTAAATACAATCTAATAACCTCAGGGATTGTTTATCCATACAAGAACAAACGTGATTGATATCCTTCGCTCTGGGAAATAATATATTGATCTGGACAGATAAATACCAGCTACTCAGAGAAAACCAGAGTAAGGCTTTCCAAATCCCCACAAATCCCCACAAATCCCCACAGTTAGCCTTAATAGTTAACACTTGATCTGGCTGAGACACAAAATACTTACCTAGGGATATTTTCCTGAAGTTTGTGTCCTTCCTCTAGGCACGTGATCATGGACCCACCGCCAGCCTGAGCCAGCACACACCAGTCCTTGACTATACTCTAAAGACAGGATGACCTCACAGAAAACTGTTCTGATCTAGGAGCTAACGGTGGCACCCTCTAACACATCCGGCTCTTCTCTGTAAGAATAGCTCTGTCCATCCTAACTGTAGGGAAGCTTGCGGACTCTTAGGGGGTTTCCTTATCACAATACTTCATTCACACTCAAGTATCCGCCTACTTCTTTCAGGACTTTCCATTTTAAAACATTTAGAAACAAATCAAATAAAAGAACTGTTATGATAGAGGCCAACTCCAGCCTCCCCAGACCTGTGGATCTTACTTCCTGTGATCCTGACGGTGTCAAGAGGACTCGGGATTCACTGTCAGCCCTAAGAATCCTTGGCCTAAGGGCACAGGTCAGGGAAATTGGAGGAAGGATTTCCTTGCATCCTGTCCCGTTAGCTTTAATCCTCAACTTGACACATCCACAGTTACCCGAGAAGAGAATCTCAATTGAGAAATTATCTGAATCAAAGCAGTATGTGGTGGGCCTGTCTGTGGAAGATTGCCTTGACAGCTAATTGTAGGGCCCAGACTACTGGGAAAGGCATCTTCCTTAGGCTGGCGGTCCTGGGCAGTATAATAAAGCTAGGTAAGCATGTGTTTATTACTGAGACAGCGGGCAGCATACCTCCATGATTTCCGCTTCAAGTTCTTGCTTGAGTCTCTCCTCCAAATTCCTTCAAGGATTGACTGTAACCTGGAAGTATAAGCCAAACAAACCCTTTCCTTCCCTCTGCTGCTTTCGGTCAGGTATTTTACAGCCACAGAATGAAATTAGAGCAATCTGAAAGGAAGATGCCACTGAGATGCTGAGATATAGCACAATAAAGAGGGTGACTGCCCAGAGCTAATTTATGCTGTAGGCACATCAGCGTTCGGTTGTGCCAAGCCTAAGATGGCTCCATTTTATTAAGCAACAGTTTTGACCTGATGTACTTGAATTTTAAGCATAAGGCCCTAGAAAGGGCAAACAACCACTATCTGCCAGTACACCAGAGGCCCCAAACTCACTACATCAACAAACAACTCCTTTTGTTTCATCAAAAACTGCAAACACATGTGCTTAGCAAAGACACTATCTGCAATCCCCTCACCTGAGCCTATTTAGAAGGAGCACCCCAAGACCAGAGTGCGGCTGCCTGGCTGATTGATAAGACTTACTCCGTCCCCAACAGACCTTTGTTTGTCCCCCAATGCCTAGACTCCCAAACCTTTCTACATTCTGCAAGCTGCGCATTGGTTTATTTTGTGTGAAATGTTAATATATGATTTAATATCAGTGATTTAAGATGGGAATAAAAGAGCTGTGATTGCCCAGGGTCTGCGAGTCAGCAAAATTGGGCTTACTTAGAAAACCACAGCCAAGGATAACATTAATGTTCTTTAATAAATTGTGACACTGTAAAAAGACACATGTCCCTGCATGTTTGTGACAGGACTCGGGGAGTCACCACACCTCTTTTCTCCTCTGGTGTACGCTCTCCCAACCTGTGTACCTAGTCTTCACCAACCTCTGCGGACACCGCCAGTCAGGAGGAGGAGGGCACAGACGCACCTGCTGCACGGAGCAAGCGCTCAGGCACGGAGCAAGCGCTCAGCCTGGGACAGTTCAGCCGCTCTGGCTGCAGGCCAAGCTCCACCCAGAAGGATCGCGACTGCGAGGCTCCTCGGAGCCAGATTAGACTCATTCGCAGACTAAAACGGCGCCCTACTCCCACACACCCGGTCACACGAACCATTTCCAGCGACATGGTGTCTTGGTATCTGCTTGGGGTTCCTGCTGTCAGTGGAGGGGAGGCCGAAAACGATGGGAGAAACCTGGAGAGTCCCTCCACAGTCATAAGGACCCAGATCCCAAGAAAACGACAGGGACCAAAAGGGATGTCTCAGTGATGTGTAGCGGCCATATTCTTAATGTCTGGATTTCTCATTGGATTTGCATCCCGAAACAACTTGCCTGGCTGGCCATCAAGACACAGACCCGCCCCTTAAAGCTTACGCGGCGGGAGAGCACAGCCATCTCTCCGAGTGAGATCCCATGAATTCTCGGCGCAAGGCTGCTCCGACAGCCCAGCTTACCCCACTAGTCCACACTGGCTCCACTAGGGGAAGGAGCATAAGCAGAGCCTGTCCCGGCTTTCCTGACTGGGCACTTGCTCAGCGGGCAATTCTTGTTTCCTCCGTTTCCAATGGGGTCACAGATGTGTTCAAGGAATTCCAGTCTCTATGGCAACAACTCATTCCGTCATAGAAGACAAAAGAAAGACCAGGTCTCGTTGGAATAAGAGAAACTGATATTATCACACTAGAGGAATTGAAATGATGCAGATTTCTCTACCTTCCCATATTCAGTCAGTAGCATAGAAAGCATATATGTGAAGGAACACAATTATTGAAGACATAAAGTGTAATTTATGGACAGAGGCCAAGCATACTAGCAAAAGTCCTATACTTTAACAATGACCAAGCACTTAACTTTACCCAATGACTTTATTTATTTATTTATTTGGTTTTTCGAGACAGGGTTTCTCTGTAGCTTCGGAGCCTGTCCTGGAACTAGCTCTTGTAGACCAGGCTGGCCTCGAACTCACAAAGATCTGCCTGTCTCTGCCTCCCGAGTGCTGGGATTAAAGGCGTGCGCCACTACCGCCCGGCTCCCCAATGACTTTTGATGTCTTCTAGAAGCTCAATATCACCTGCCTCCCAATAGCCAGTCTTGAGACAACAGGTGCTACACAATTCAGCCTGGCCCTCAGATATCCGCGAGGGTCAGATTCAAGAGGGACGCTGAGTCAGATTGCTCCTGGTGGCTGTCACCAAACCTAAGATCACAGTATCTATCTGAAGTCAGATTCAGGCACCCAATCTTGTGGAGACAGTTAAAACATACAAATTAATAGTAAAAAGCAGGAAAAGGAGAACTACTCGATAAGGTTACATTGCGAAGAGGAGCAGAAAGATTCAGTGATCGTCATCAGTCCATCTTGGGATGACTAAGGTTAGAAGGAAGTTTAGGGGACCTAGGCACATTAAGCAGTCCAGGACAAGGCATGATCCCACCATCACTCAAATGTCAACATTTCTATGAGGTTACTAATCTCTTTATTGGAGGAGGGAAGCATTTTGGAGAGAAGAGCTCCAGCTCCGGCTGATCCAACACGAGATTCCTGGAGAAATCCCAATTCCTTGGGTTTCTGTTTTCTTTTGTTGTTATTGTTGTTTTGCTTTTCTGACAACAGGCTGGCCTTGAACTCAGAGATCCACCTGTCCCCCCTCCTGAGTGCTGAGATTAAAGAACTGTGCCACCATCACCTAGCTGGGGTTCAGTTTTAATACCATTAAAGCTAGAGCATCTCCTTAGAAAATATTCCTTTCTGCCAGGTTAGTGACAGGGACATAAGATTTAACGTCAAACACAGTATGGGACCTGAAAGGAAATAACTTGGGACTGCTCAGAAAGAGCAATGTATCTATTTTAAGGCTTTGGGGAAAGAAGGGTGATGCACTGGGAGGAAGAAGTGTTGTTGATGTGTGACTCAGAGCTTGTGGGGGAAGGAAGGGATGCATCATTTAAAGTTCTTGGTGGTTTAGGATCTGGTTGCCTGAGGAGCTTGCTCATTTCTGTGGTGGGGGTGTTAGGTTTTGGCTAGGTGCTAATTGGGCCACAGTTTCCTGCAGTGTTTCAGGTACTGGCAGGTTACCTACCACGAGTATGTCTGTGATTCTCTACCCAGGCTTGAGGAAGGAAGTGCTAATTCATAGAGATAAAGCAACTCTTCTTGGATAACCTGGTTCTCAGAGCTGATTCTGAGGTACCTGATGCTGCAGGGATAGTTTAATGGCTAGTGTAATAAAGCCCCCTAGCTGTCTGGATTAGAGTGTGACGGGTCACATCATACTCTGTCTAGCACTCAGTCTCATGGTCTCAAGGAACAATCTCTGTTTCAGTGTCCTCAGTCACACCTCACAGTGAAATTACAGAATCACACCAGGCTACTTGTCAGTTTCCCTCAACTCCTTCGAGGGACTGAGAATCACAGAATCCCAGTTGGGTGCTTGCCAAACAAGCCTCCATAGCTGTGAGAATTACAGCATCAGCATTGAGGTTAGAGAGGCTGCTGCAGAGGGATGGGACCTCAGAAACAGCTGGCCATATCTGACAATACAGACCCTACTTAAAAGGTCTGCGAGATGACAAAATTCCCACTTAATTGCTATAAGCCTTCATCCGGGGTTGAAGATTTAGTTCAGTGATAGAGCACCTGCCTTACAAGCACAAGACCCTGGGTTCCGTCCTCAGCTGGGGGTCAGGGGAGAGACAAAATAACAAAAATGGTTGGAGACATGACTCAGCAGTTAAGAACACTGTCTGCCCAGAGGACCTGAGTTCAATTCCCAACACTCACAGGGCAGCTCACAACTTTTTGTAACTTCAGTTCCAGGGGATCTGACACCTTCACAGACATGCATGCAGGCAAAACACCAATGCACATAAAAGAAAACAATTAAAAGATTTCTACCTACTGCTTGAGAGGCAGAGACAGGCAGATTTCTATGAGTCCAAGGCCAGCCTGGTCTACAGAGCGAGTTTCAGGACAGCCCAGGGCTGTTCAGAGAAACCCTGTCTTAAACACCAAAAAGTCAAGCAACAAACAAAAAAGAATTCCACCCCTTTTAGCAATATGTGAAAGCAAAAAAATACAACTCTCACCCCAAAGGAGATAAGAGATAATTTATTCTGGAGCCAACTATGAGTACCCTGAAAATACTCATGTTACCCTAGTAGTATGTCCCAGTGTAGTAACAGTATTATGATGTTTTATAGTTACAAAGATAGTCAAGAGACTTGAAATATATTGGTGGAAACGTTGGATAGGTAGATTACGGAAAATGAGGACATTTCTATGATATGTCTCAGATGACCTTGACGTTATGGTTGGTCAAGAACTGTGCTAAATTAATATCCTTAAAGAGATTCTTAAAGAGGTGGGTGGTCCTTGGACTTCCCACAGGTCAGGGAACCCTGATTGCTCGAGCTGATGAGGGAGAGGGGCTTGATCGGGGGAGGGGGAGGGAAATGGGAGGCGGTGGCGGGAAGGAGGCAGAAATCCTTAATAAATAAATAAATAAATAAATAAAGAGATTCTGATAACTACAATATTAGCCCCTACACTCAAGAGGGGAAAAAATCGCTAGCAAGAGAGTTAAAGATAGCCCAAGACAAATTAAGCTTTGGACCTGCAACAACCCCATCTCTCCAGTCACTGAAGCTGTAATCACCTTTATAGAACATTCAAAGTTCAACGTGGCTTCTTTTCTTTTGAAATGAAAAAATATTTTTGAGGTAGTCTCACTATACAGCCCTTGCCGGCCTGAACTTGCTATGTAGACTAGGCTGGCTCTAACTCAGAGATCCACTTAGGTATGCCTCAACAATGCTGGGATTAAAGGCATTCACCACCAGACCCAGAAAATTATGTATGTATATAGTGTATGCATGTTTCCATATGTGGGTATGTGCACATGTGTGAGTATGCACATGTGTGCATATCTGCAGAGGCTCAAAGGGGGTATCAAATCCCCTGGGGCTGGAGTTACAGATGTTTGTGAACAGACGGATGTGGGTGCTGGGATCTGAACTTGGGTCATCTGCAAGAGCTGAAAGTGAGCCATCTCTG